GGATGGATGTAGTCGTGAAATCTTCTGCTGCTCTATTTATTGTTATGTAAAATCTGCTGTAATCCGGAGTTTATTCTGCAACTCTGCATGTGTAAATACCAGATCAGAATAAACTGGTAGATGTAAAGTTTTCTTTATTTTCTCAAGTCGATGACATTGGAACCCATGTAACCGGCCACCAACTTTTTTGTTTCACTATGCTCAAATATTCGAAAACTTCAGACTGGCTTAATGCTATTATTTGTACTAAGCATATGCTTGAATATGCGGTCCTTTTTGTTACAAGTAATATTCTTTTTGTGGTTGATTTGACCTTTTACATTGTACAGATGGTATTGGTTCTTTTCCATCTCTGAAAGCAGAATCTTGTTGGGGCCAGACAATCCTGGACATCTGATTTGCTGTAAAGCTCTCTGAAAAGCTCTGGCTGGATCCTTTGCTAGATGCCATCAGATGTGTCAGCTTGGTGCCGCATATCACTTGGAGAAAGAGCATCTACAACAGCATGGCTATTTTTGCCTTTCTATTCATCCATTTGGCCAACTTGCCAAAAAGATTCCTCTCCATATCTCCTACACGATCCAACAGACTGTCCATTCCACACTCTCCATTTTTACTTGGGCCCCACCTGCCAATGTCTTGGCACTCTTCTCCCTTTCATTTCTTTTCTTTCCCCACCTCCCCGTGGCATGGCAGCAATAGATGGGCAGCGGCGTCGGATTGCTAGGGGTGGGGGCGGATGGCGGCAGCGGATGGCCGACGGTGGCTGTGTGGCGGCGCGGGGAGGCTTAGAGGAGCGGCGGCGCGGGGAGGCTGAGAGGGGCGGCAGTGGATGGCGGTTGGGCGGCGGTGCGGGGAGGCTGAGGGGCGGCGCCGGCGTTAGGAGGCGGGGAGGAGCCACGCCGGAATCCTCTCCTCGAGGAGGTGCGATGCCGGCGTCCCATTGTCATTGATCTTGAGCGCGGGCGAGCCATCGACGGCGAGCTCGGGCGGAGGATGCGAGCGAGCGACAACACTCCTCCTTCCCATGGCAGCGGCAGGCACGAGCGGAGGGAGAAAGGGCGCAGCGGTGATAGGCGGAGGGACTTGGGCTCGTCACCGCCATCCACCGCAGCTCGGGCTCCGTCCCCATCCGCCGCCATCATCCGCTACCGCCGCCGCCACTCGGGTTCGTCGCCGCCATCCGGGCTCGTCGCCGCCACTCGGGCTTGTCGCCGCCATCCTCTGTCGCTTGGGCTCCGTCCCCATTCGTCGCAGCTGTTGCCGGCGGTAGCTGCAGCCGGCTCGAGCAGAGCAGGTAGTACGGGGCGAGAGAAAAGCATCTCCAACGTGGGGCCCACGAATGGCAAGGCAATTTGGGCTGGCCAAAATTGGCCATTGAGGGAGGAGTTTTGCCAGTCATTTGGCTTAGCCCTTCTAGTAGAGAGGCTGTTGGAGTGAGATTTTTTTTTGCTAAAATGGCTAAATTTTAACTTGGAAAGTCTATTAGAGAGTCTGTTGGAGATGCTCTGAAATTTGGGGGATAAGAGAGAGATCGAGGTAGAAACAGGTTCTAAACACCCTTGAAATTTCAAGGAAAAGGAATCAAATCATATTTGAATAAGTTGATGGTCTTATTGTGGCTATCTAGATTTGATTTGTTGTATTAATATTCTATTATATGATAGGTTGGTCTATTTTGGAACGAAGGAAGCACACTTTTTACGTTGGCAGAGAAGTTGTGGATGCCAACGTAAGTTCATTTAAATTGAAGTCGGGGGCTACTGTCAGAGTTATGGATAAGGCATATCTTATATCCTACGATTTACCGAATATATCGGATTAGCATACCTCATATCCTACGATATGTTTCCGTATGCGATAAGGAAACACACAAGATATTATGGAAAATATCCTCACGGGCTGAAGATTATCAGAGTCCTACTCGGAGAGGATATGGATTATTCTATATCATGCGGGGTTCGTTGTCTCCGAGTTCTACTTGGAGACTAAGGTAACTTATGATATGAAGGGCACACCCCCTGAGGTGCTCAGATCATTGAATCATAACGCCAACACACCAACTAAAGTTTACGAAGCCGAAGGACTCAAGCCGAAGCCATTGGGAGATCTCGTCGATCAATCTTGACAAGGATCTCATCGGTATCATCGGATTCATCTGTTCTCATTGTACTTTGTGATTTTCCATATCAATCTTATATAAACTGGATTAGAGCTATTATCTCACGAGGGGTCTGAACCAGTATAACTCTTGTCTTCTGTTTGCTTTGATATCGTATCGTGTAAATTCTCGTACCAACGTACCCCAATACCTTATTTATCTGGTCTACGTGTATCCCCGTCAACACCGGTGACGACCTAAAGCTCATCACTATCATCGGCGTCGTCTTCTTCAAGCTCGTCACCTCACTGACAGCATTCATACACACATACCACTGCCGGTGTCCCCAGACTTCTGATGAGTATTTGTAAATGACGTCGTCGTGCATCTGCCAATGATGATCTCAAGTTTGGTGCCACCGCAACAAGCTTCATCCATACACCCGCCGACGTGTTTTGGTGGCTACCGTCGCCAATGGCATGTTTGTCTCCACTACAATCACAATCTTTACCTCCACCGATGTGGCCTTTAAGATTGCTATCTTTACATCAACATCATCACATCTACATCATACATTGGAGAACATAAAGCGAAGACCAACGATGACGACCATCGTACCTTAATCGGAGGTGTCTCGTGAGTTTAACTCGCAAGAGTATTTAACCGGGTGTCTTCCGAGACCCCGGGAACCAGGAGAGCACAATCGCCAAGTTAGATCCACCATGTCGATGGGCTGTGGTGCGTATTTGTTCAAGTATTTTGTATTTTTGTAATTCTTAAGAATTATAATAAAGTGCACTTTCCATCGTCTATTTTATTTTTTGTACTTAGTACACTGGCACGCCCGCACATTTTATTTTATTTTATTTCCCTGGGCAGAGAGACGAAAAATTAATTTTCTCTCCAAACACACGTGGTTTCTCTCTCCTCTTCAATCGAAAATATCATTTTAATGGGTGCGATGTCCCGTGGCAAATATTCAATTTCTGAGAGTGTCTTCCCCAAAGTGGCTTCGCGTGGTATCCTATAGCTAAAATTACAAAGTCACGACGTTGTGTAGGCTGTAGCAAAAATTGCCAATTTTCTTCTGTAGTATTGGAGAATATTAAGGTGGTGATTAGATCCGGAGACTAAACTTTAGCACATATCACATCGGATATTTGAGTAATTATACAAATAAGAGCTAATTCACGTGACAATTTTTTTTAAGCCTAGGCGCGCAGAAAGGCCGAGCGCTCGCGCGTGGCACGTCAGAACACTGTTTGTAGTACGCGAGGTGTAAATGTTTTGAAAAAGTCCTTATATTGTTTGCAATTAGATATAGACCCCTCACGAACAAATAGTACTCCCTCTATTACATGATATAAGTAGACCCCTCACGAACAAATAGTACTCCCTCTATTACATGATATAAGTAGACCCCTCACGAACAAATAGTACTCCCTCTATTCCATAATATAAGGACATTCCCAACCCAATGACTAGAATGGTGTCCATAACATTAAATAAGTTGCCACCTATGAAAAAAAATAATGTGACAAGTGAATAAATGAGGAAAGAAAAGGAAACCATGTCTTGCATGAGACATGGTTTCTACACAACATCCAAGACATCATGTGAGATAAGTAGCATTAAATTAAAGTATGGAATAGTGGTGTTTACATTGGAAGAGTAGTGTCTTGTACTAGTTTCTTGATGATGTGGAGTTTATGGAAACCATGTCTAGTGTTATGGGTTGGGACTGCCTTAAGGCACAACTACTATTTTTAGATGTTCCATAATATAAAGCATACATGCATGCATACAATTAATTAGGACATATTCTCCATTAAATTATTACTTTTTAAAATCCTCCACCCTTAAGATCTCTAATTCTATTGGATGCATGCATTATATTTATTAGGGTGATCCAAACTAGAAGATGATAATAATTGTTTCTTGGTCTTTGGGTTAAGGGTAGTTGTGACTTAGGGTGTGTTTGGATGGGAGGATTTGGGTGGATAGGAGATGGCGGCCCATTTTTGTGGCTGTTTGGTTGATGGGCGGAAGTGGGATACGACGGCCCCAAGAGGAATATTCCTGTTAGATGCTGGATGGGGGGGGGGTCCGGACGATTTGCCCGGATGCAGCCGCCCGGGCGCCCGGGCGAGCAGGGCGACGGGTCGCTTCACCCCCTCACCGAGCGTTAGCAGCGGCCACGCGAGTGAATCGACGGTTGACGCAGAGGAGAGGTCGGCGAGGTCCGCGGCGGCGGCGTGAAATGCGAACGCCGCGGGGTGGGAAGGGAGGTCGGCGGCGGCGTGAGGTGAACGCGGCACTGGCGGCGGGAGGCGAGGTCGGCGGCGGCGCGAGATGTGAACGCGGCGGCGGCGCAAGATGCGAGAGCCGCGGCGCCGGGAGGCGACGGTGAGATGCGAGCTCGGCGGCGGCAGGATGCGAGGGCTTATTTTTTTCCTTTTTGTCCTTTTTCTTTTTTATTTTTTTCTCTATGTGGATTTGTAGTGTGTGTATATATATGTATATATATATATATATATATATATGAATTTGTGATTTGTTAGGGAATTTGTTATTTGTAGTATATATGAATTTGTTGGGGGTATACTCACCCTCTCTAAGTGAGAGGTGACCACACCTGCTCATCCACCCTACTTCTTCCAACCAAACAAAAAATTAGATCACCAAAACCACCTTCATTCCTCCAACCAAACAAGAAATTAAATCGTCATATCCATCCAACCAAACAAAAAACTGGATCGCCATATCCAACAAAATATGGACCACCATATCCCATTCACGCTTGACCATGAACAAACACACCCTTATATTTTGGAATGGATGGAGTATTTAAAAAGAAAAATCGCGAACAGGGAGTGTGTTGTAAAATGTGGAAGAGGAGGGTTTTTTTTTCGCAGAATAACATCCACTAAACCCCCTAAACCCTCCGCCTCCCCCTCGCGCCGTCCCCGTCGCCTCCGCCACCGCCTCCGCCGCCGCCGCTGCCGTGTACCGCCGCCGTTCAAATTATTCCCCTCTTCCGCTCCACTCTCCCGTCTCTCTCTCTCTCTCTCTCTCTCTCTCTCTCCACACAGAGCACGCATCCGCCACCCCCACACGGGAGCGGAGAGCTCGCCGCCGGCGATCGCCGCAGGAATCCGAGGGTTTCTTCCTGCGTCCGCGGTAGATGGTTCTGCTCGAACGATCGCCGTTGGTGGTGCCGGAGGCAGCCGCCGCTGCCGCCTCCAGCCCGCTCCGGAGGCCGTCGCCTAGGGTTCGGAGGGAGGTGCCACCCCCTCCCCTCGATCCCATCCTCCCCTACCTTCAGGTAATTGCCAAATCAGTATCCATATCTGCACCTGCTCCTTCGATTTAGGTCCTATTTAGGGGTGTACCAGCGTGGGATTCCGCCGTAGCTGTGTGGAATAGTGCTTGGTTTCGCCTGAAGCTATGCGCGCGTCGGAATCGTACTGGGATTCTGTCCCTTCCTCTGAGTTATGTAGTTAATTGGGCGTGTAATTTTGATTTTGACACTTCGCCTGTGTGCAGTTGAACTTGGACGAACGGAAATGTGAGAATGGGGGCGTATGTTCCCCAAAAAAAAAAAAAGAAAAGAAAAAGAATTAAACGATATGACCACCACTGTTTGAGTGTCTGGCAACGATAGAAGTGCATATTGAGGAGACATTGTGAGTAATGTCCAGTGCTGGGACTTGGGGAAGGATTTAGTTCTGGAGCTGATTTGTTTTGTGCAGCTAGGCTGATTTTTCTTGTGAAGGATTACCTTGTTTATGTGGAGACGTTTCTCTTATTCCCTTATCAGTTCTTGAACTGTCGAGTAATGTAATGTGCCCACTTTATTTGCTCCTCCTGTACTAATGTTTTGCTTTCCGATATTTTGGTCTAAACTTTGCATATATAACTTATTTTTATGTTGTTCCTGGTACTATCATATCTATTTTGTAAGGTAAATCTAATCTTTCATGCACATGCTGGTATTCATGCATAATTTATCTATGTATCAGTGTGATTTGTTTGTCCTGGTCAGGGCCAGTCCTGGTGTATGCATTTGCTTATGCCAGTTTCTGACTTGGTATTCAGGTCTATCAACAAGGCTATGGATGAGCTCAGGAGAGGCCCAAAATTTGAAGCAGCAGCCCTTGATTGGCTCAAGATTTGTGTAATGGAATGCATTGATAAGTATGGTGACGATTACCAGTACTCCACAGACCCCCGACTCCTCAAGATCTGGATCCTCTATGTAATTGATTGGCTTTGAAGTTTCAATTCTTACCTTATCCATTTTTCTATCCCCTTTTGCTCATCCCCCCCCCACTTCGTTCTATGTTAGGCGGATGCATTATGTTTTTGTTGAAGTGAACTTTTTGGGCAGCAATAACCTGATGTCAAATTTGCCATGTTGATGTGATCGCAAACCATTTCTGTGGTACCAGAAAAGCCGAGCCACTTGATCATTTGAAGAAGACACATACAATATTTTTAAAACACTTGGAGAAGATTGTAGAAGAAGCTGATGCCGATGCCCAGGTATGATAACTGTGTGGTGGAATGGACATTTGTCGAGTCCTTGAATATTTGTCAAATGATTCACATATTGCGTATTCAATTGCATTTTAGTAATCAGGAGATTGTGGCTGTGTTGTAGATTTGTAATATTTTATATATGGTCAGTTGGTCACAAGGCTGACAGACTTGCGGCAGTAAGAACTGCTTTGATATTGTTTCTTACATGATAATTTTTCTGTTGTGGAGCATTTGCTTTTCCAAAAAAGGTTGGCAAGCAATAGGATAATTGTCTTCACATTTCTGTGCTGGTGAACTGTGATACATTCTTTTACCAAGTCTAATTTACATAATTTATTCATTTATTTGCATGCTTGCCTGTTGTGAACTGAATATTTATTTGGGGCTAATCACAATGATATCTACTTTGTACTTGCCGATCTTTACTAGCTCGTACATCTGTAACATCTATTTCAACTAAATACAGGATGGTTTATTTTTCATGGAAAGAGTTTCTGTTCTGTCATTCCTACAACTCTATTTTTACAAAAATAGCATGATTCTAGTTTTTTAGAGTGGCTTTTTGTTATATGTTTAGAGATATATTTTATTTAGTTTAATCATAGTTGGGAATGAATTTCAGGATGTACTTTCCACTGATTCTTGTGGTGCATGTGTTCCATTTTGAGTTTGTCTCGGAAATATATTAGAATTGGGAGTGCATCTGCACAGCTTTAGCATAGTGGTGAAGTCAGAACATAAATATAGGGGGCTATCAGCATAACAGTACCATACCAAACAATCTTCTTATATGGTTTAATTCATAAATAAATAGAGAAAAATCAAGCAAATTGCAAAAGCAAAGAATAAAATGAAATATCGGGCTGAAGCCACATGATGTGCCATTGAAAGCTACGCCCCTGCCCTTGCTTGAGTGGACTGATCATTACTAGATAAAGAAACATGAGACATGCAATTTCTATATGTTTTTGAAGAACAATATCTATATAACCCCGTTAAGCTTGTGAAGTAAGTAATCTATGCAAATACTTTTTTTTTTGTTTCTATTACTTGTCATTACTGGCCATTATTGTAGCCAGCAAGCATATTATGGTCGCTTAATGTTATTCTTCTTTGTGGATAATTCACCATACTAACTCCCATCTCTTTTTGGTTACTGTCTGCTAGCCGAAACCATCCAAAATGCAAAAGAAAGAACCTATTTTGCTGGATCCATGGTCTGAGTCTACTATGAATAATTTATTGGAGAACATTAATGTTGACCTGAAGAAGTTCGCTGTAAGTTGCATTTACTCTATATGATTCGCTAGTGTTTAGCTTAGCTCTCATCTTGGACGGTTGCCCAAATCCTTGACAGGGCTATCATCAGAGCAACAAGGTCTATCATGGAAAGGTGCCATTAACTTCGCCTCAGAATGTTTTAAGAAACAAAGTCACTGAATTAGGTATAAACTATAATTTCTTGCTTGTCGGTCTTTTACCAAAACTATAATCATTTTTGTTGTTTGGCTCCTTCATGATCAATGCTCTGTTAGTCACAATGAATACATAATGCTCCTTGAAAAAAAATAGAGGAAGGAATATACCCTTTTTTATTTATAAAAAAGGCCATTTATATTGATGATATAATAAAATTTAGTTACAAATCCCTCTGAATTTTTTACATTTTGGTCCTTTTTAAAAACTTATTTTACAAATAGATCCCTGGAAAAACTTAATCCAGGAACGGCCCTTTTTGGTGCGCCAGAGAGGCTGGTGCTGTCCTCCAACATGGCAACGCCAGCCACCCTGGCGCCCTCACCGTGCTGCCGTGGCACTAGGGCTATTGTGGTAGTGTTGACTGGGCGGATGGGAGTGCTAGCCACTCTGGCGCCGGCCCTCAGACCACAGCGCCAGCGGTATTGGCGCACCCCTCCTGGGGGCCGCTTAACCCTCGCGGGCCCCACCTCCTTTCTCCTCCAGTTAGCCATTTGTGCCAGCACTTCTAGCCGAGCCGAGCCCGAGTTCTTCTCCCTCTCTCTCTCCCCCTCACCTCTCCACCTCAGATCCACTTAATTTGAACTCTTTTTTCGTGGGATTTTTTGTGGAAATCGAAGAGAAAGGTAGACTCCTCCATTCCCCCCCTTTTTTTCGTTTTAATCGGTTGAATTTGTAGATCGGAGGGTAACCCTAGAACCACTTTTTTTCCCCCAAATTTGAGATTTTTTACATTTGTTGTTGGGATTTGCTTGTTGTAGTGCTACATGTGTAGATGAATTGAACGAGGAGTTTGCTGCATGCAAGAAGGAAGCTGGAAACACTTATACTTACATCTGGAATGAATGAATAGTCAATCTTGTCAAGTTGAACATCTGGGATGCCCTTTTTCCCATACACTGTGTGTGCCCAAGGTTTTACCTAAAAAGGGGCAAGGAAGGGAAATGTATAGTTAGATGTTAGTGGGTAGTGTAGTTGGTATAGCAGTACTCAAGTATGCCTGTACTAGATAGTTGACATTTGCTTCTATAAAGTAGTAGAGCAGCTGCAGCTCAAATTAGTTCAGCAGCACCAAGTGTTTGTGCTCTCTGTTCTCTCATCTTCTTCCGCCTCTGATGTGTGAGCTGTGTGCGTGAGTGTGAGTTTGAGGGACTGTATTTTTCTATTAGACATATTGCTAGACATGATAATTCTAGGGCAAATGATTTAGCACAGCAAGCATCTGGCTACAATGTGAAGAGGGGAATATTTTTGATATTAGAAGAGCCGATGCTTGATTTTAAATCTTTGAGCGAAATTGGCAAAATCGCAGACCAGGGGCGGTCTGACCGGCGTTGCACGGCCGATCTGACCGGCGTTGCACGGCCGGTCTGACCGGCCACTAGGGGCGGTCTGACCGGCCACTAGGGGCGGTCTGACCGGCCACCCCGGGCGGTCTGACCGGCCTTGCATGGCCGGTCTGACCGATTATGGATAGAAGGCTGGGGGGCACGCCACAATTGATTCAAAGGCCGAATTAATTGTAAATTCGGACATTTGTGCCCAGGAAACAGAAGAAGATTGGAGAATTCCTTTGATTAGATATTTGAAAGTTCCTACACTTAAGGTTGATCGGAAGATTCGGCGGCAAGCGTTCAAATATACATTGTTTGATGAAGATTTATATCGCCGTAATATGGATGGAGTTCTATTGAAGTGCTTAGATAATGATCAATCAAAAGTGGCTATGGGAGAGGTGCATCAAGGAATTTGTGGAACTCATCAATCGGCCCATAAGATGAATTGGTTGCTTAGGAGAGCGGGTTCTATTGGTAGAGGATGATTGAAGATTGTTTCAAATATTATAGGGGATGCGAAGCTTGTCAACGGTTCGGCAATGTTCAATTGGCGCCCACTGCCGCGTTGAACCCTATTATCAAACCATGGCCGTTCCAAGGTTGGGCTTTGGATTTCATTGGTCAAATTTATCCTTCGTCATCAAAGGGGCATAGGTTCGTGCTAGTTGCAACGGATTACTTCACCAAGTGGGTCAAAGCCGTGCCACTCAAGAATATGACTCATACGGAGGTAATTGACTTTATTTTGAAGCATATTATCTATAGATTCGGTATTCCGCAAACATTAACTACGGATCAAGGAGCTTCTTTCATGTCTAAGGAAGTGAAGAGTTTTGCCGAATCTTATGATATCAAATTGTTGAGTTCTTCTCCTTACTACGCTCAGGCTAATGAACAAGCCGAGTCGAGTAATAAGACGTTGTTGAAGCTAGTCAAAAAGAAGATTGAGGAACACCCAAAGAAGTGGCATGAGGTGCTTTCTGAAGCATTGTGGGTGCATAGGATATCTAAATATGGTGCCACTAAAGTCACTCATTTTGAGTTGGTTTATGGTCAAGAAGCCGTTTTGCCGGTTGAGGTGAATCTTGGCTCTCTTCGGTATATCAAGTAAGATGATTTGTCAAGTGAAGATTATAAGACGTTGATGGGAGACAATCTTGATGAAGTCATCGACAAGCGTTTGAAGACTTTGGAAGAGATAGAGAAAGAGAAGAAGAGGGTGGCCAAGGCGTACAATAAAAGGGTGAAAGTAAAGTTGTTTCAAGTTGGAGATTTGGTTTGGAAGACAATTTTGCCTTTGGGTACTCGATCCAGGGAGTTCGGTAAGTGGTCTCCTAGTTGGGAGGGTTCTTATCGAGTATGCGGCATTGTTCGAGGGAACGCATATTTTTTGGAGACACTTCAAGGAGAGCGTTTTCAGCGAGCAATCAACGGGAAATACTTGAAGAAATACTTCCCGAGCATTTGGCAAGATGCTTAGGAGGTACTATGGCCGGTAATTGGATTATCGCCCTAAGACCAAAAACATGTTCTATGCTTTTAGATTCACGTTGTTCATCAAAAAGGCAGGGGGGCATGTGTTTACACCCAAATTTGGCACCTAGGGATAAAATAGGGAAAATTGTCAAAGTTTGGAAGACTGCCGGTTTTCCTCTGTGAGGGCTCTATTAGGGCCGGTCAGACCGCCGTGTATAGGCCAGTTGCCGCCGACAGTGGGCCGGTCTGACCGGCAGAGTCCGAGTCCGGGATTGTTTCGTCGGGTCTTGAAGTTTCCTTACTCGGGAAGGCATGTTTCGGGTTTCCTTTGGATTCTATCCCGAGTTGGACGTGGAGGAGGGCCTGTAAAGGGTAAGACCAACCCCTATATAAGGACATGGCCGGTTCATTGTAAAAAATCAATCTACAATCAATCAATCGAATCGTTTTTCTTATTGCTTTTAGTTTTCTTTTAGTTTGTCCATCTTTGTCGATTTGCGCTGTAAATCGTCCGCCGCCGCTGCGAGAGTGCGACTACTCTTTGTAGGTTTGTCCTGAAAACCTTCCGTTTTGCCCACGAAACGGGTAGGTATCTAGAATCGGCTCCGCTAGCCGGTTTAGTTATCAAAACCCATCTTGGTTTAGCTTTTGCTAGATTGAGGTGGTTGGCGACTTTAGGTGCTGCGATCGTGCTTGTCAACTTATCACAAAAAGTTGCCAACACATGTAACAGGAGCTGTTTGCTGCCATTTTGTCCTTTACAGGTACTGGAACGTGGAGCTGTGGAAAAACCTCTTCTGCACACTGTTCAACGCGACCTCCAACAGCAGCGAAGCGGCTGTGCTCCGGAGCCTCCGGATGTCTTTCCAGGAGTACCTGTACACCAACGGGCAGCTCGTCGGCAAGCTGAACCAGCAACTGGCCAAATAGAAGACCTCCCTGTGCCTATCCTGACCGAGACATATGCATCTCGTTTCACCTGCATCTTTATTCCCGATTCCCTTGTGTTGCCTGTGTAAGTGGTATAAATACCTTTCGTAACTTCGTAGCACTTCCTCGTGCGTGCGTGTGCAGCAGTAATTAACGTGCCACATGTCCACTTGAAAGCTGAAACATCTATTGGCCCGGATGGAAATTGCGTACAGTATCTCCACCTAGCAGGGGAGCGTATCCTATGCACACAGGCCCTCGCGTGTACACCGTGTACACCAACTAAAAATTATCACAAAAAATTCTAGGAAAATTCATACATGTACTTTCAATAGTATTACATCTACGTGCAAAGTCGCATCTTCAAATTCATTCTACATAGAGAATAACAAAAAAGATAAAATTCTGACAAAATTGTAACCTTAAAACTGTCAGATTTTTTGTTTTTTTTTGTTACGGCTAAAATATAATGAATTTGACGTTAAGATTTTAACCCTAGGTGTAATACAACTGAAAGTATGTGTATGATTTTTTCTAGAATTTTTGGTGACATTTTTTAGTTGGTGTGCACGTGTGTACACGTGAGGGCCTGTGTGCATAGGATATGTTGCCACCTAGCAGCTACTAAGATGTTATGTGGGTAGATGAATTGGGGTGCTCGATGGGAGGGCGAGGCCTGCAGCCTCGCTGCTCCGGAGCTTGGGTGAGGACGAACAGAAGAGGAGGGGAGACAAGAGATAGGTTAACTTCTTTCTTGATTCATTCCAAATGACTGCGGTGCCTCTCCTTAAATAGAGTCGGCTCCTAACAAACCTCCTAACAACCTTATCTAATAAAGCCTAACAAATTGACTGAATGTGCTGAGTTCTGCCCATAACATGTTAATGAGTGAATTCTGAAGTAATGTCTGTGTTCCTTCATTGTACAATACTGGTAATATAGTGAGCATGTCAGTAAGTTTTCTGCATGTCAGTAAGTTTTCTTGCTGCCACCTTTCTATGCTTCTGTTTTTAGGTTGGATGTTTTCTTATTGTCTTCTTTGGGTGATATATGTGGTCTTCATATTTCTTATCAGATTATTTAGGTTTAGTCCATGATAGCATATCTTGTTTATGCTATCAGAAGGTTTTGCCTCAATTTCCTTCCTGTCCAACAAATCATATTTTATTTGTTAATTCGTCGTGCACTAATTCTGTACGCAGAATGGCACTACACACATTTGCATTGATGATATTCTTTGTCGACAATCTTATATTGGCCATTGTGATGCATACATCATCAGAAATTCTCTGTAAGCCTGACAATCTGGGCATATTACCCTTATATTTGGATCCTGCAGTTAATTTTCTATGAGATAAACCTCAGGGTCTTTAGGGCTCAATATAGACAGATGATTGTGCTGATATTAAGGTAATGATTTGATTTCATGGTGCAAGTCTTTTAGCCTCCTATATGGTGTAAGCTCCATTATTCTACGAATCATATTGTAACCTCTACATTGGGTCAATATTAGGTCTATAAGTCAAGGCAGTAATCACAAATTATATTGTACATCTAGCAAACAAATATTTATTTGGCTTGATTGAGGATTTCAGTATTTTTAAGAACTTTACTAGACCCTAATTACTACATTTTAAAATCAGTTCAGGTCCTATGTATAACAAGCTAACATTTTTCTTGTGCTATACCCATTTCTATATCTGCTACTATTATTTAATATGTAATGGAACATTGATTTCATAGGTTAGCATTGTTTGCAGGGTGTTTCAGTAACACTGAAACCATGGTTGCTTGAGAGGATTAAAGCCACAGATACTTCTAAGTTCTAACCTGCATAGTACCATCCTCTGTTGATCTGTGTAGTCCATACCGATTAACTGTACATATGTGCTATTCCAAAGAATCCAATCCTTAGTATCTCTAGCTATACTGTGTTATTCTCTTTTCTGCTTTGATCATAAAGTATTGTTTCAATTTATTGGTGTGTGACGAAGTGACATGCACTTCAAACAATTTTAGATGAGACATGTCATATGTTCCAATAGGGCACACTGCCACACTGGGGTGTAATTTTTTCTTGACAAGCATTATTCCTACTTTCTTTCTTTTTTTTTTTGCAGCGCTGCACTGTATTGGAATTTTCTAATGACCCATCCTTCCAGATTGAATTTTTGCTTTACAAATACACTTGTATAGTTTTCATTATATGCTGACTTCAAAATATGATTTTATTACTTCTTTTAATTCATGAAATATTATGTTTGCCCCTTATCCAAAGCCACGGAGATATTTCAACACAGTTTCTTAGACGAGTATTTGTCCTACCTGCCATATATTCATTGTGTAGCAATATATGGATGACATCCAAACATGCCCTGTATTCTGTAGGGGATACTTCAAAATTCTGTGCCATTATGCAAAGGAGGTACCACTCATCTACTAATCTGTTGTAAGTACATGATGTGATGTACTGTTGTTTTTATTGAGCTAAAGCACTAAATTGTTCTCTGTACTGCAGTGCTATAGATGAGAAAAGATTCAATTAGTTCATGACGAAGATATCTATGAGAAAATGTTGTCCCAAATCCCCTAATGATTGCTGTTTTTTCTAACCTAGCCCACATCATGTAAGATCCATTGTCCTCTGTCATTGCTACTTTTCTGTAAGTGTACATGATTGTATAAACAATTATGTGAGCAAACAGATCATATTCACATTTGAATCTTGGTGATAGTCATAATGTGTATTAGTGTATGCATATGTGGGTATGCTTCTGACATAAAGTTCTTTTAGACGAATGTTTATATATAATTCTTAAAAGTTACAATTATAGATACTGTGTTGTTTTGATCTTAATAACACAGCTTGAAACATTCATACCCAGGCACGCAACTTAGTGCGTGATTCTTGCTAGTTACTTGTAAAGTACCAGCGAACAGCTCCACGCCGCGACGACTACACAGGATGTCCAGGGATGGACATGGACGCAAGGTGGAGCACGACAGCAATCAACGGAATTTTATCGGTGGAATCAGACACTTCAGGCAGTGGTTGAAACCGTTCAATGGCTGCAATCAATAGGGAGAAGACCAGATGTGGTGCCGGGGTTGATGGTGGTAGAAGCGATTGGTGATCCAATCGGTAGGTTGGACACTTCGGGCGGGTAGCCTAGATTTTCCATTGAGCTACTCTCACCCAGGGAGACGTGCGGCCGCACGCTTGGGGTTGATTGAAGCTGGAGGCAATCGGCATTCTTGGTCGGTGGAATCGAACACTCCGGATGGGGTGGTCCGGACTTTTCGATGAGCTGCGTTCGACAGGTAGATGGTTAGACGTAGCGCTTGGGTCGTTCGGCGGCTGGGAAGACGGCATGGTGATTTGTTGGCTGACTCGCGACCATCTAATTCCACTACCCGCATAAAAATTCACTAGTTTATTTTTCATATGATATAGTACAAAATTTGAAAGAAAAAATAAACTAGAAGTAAGATAAGTGGGTAAAAGAATCCCATTTGGCAGCCATAGGTCTGGCCTTAGATGGAAGAACCTGACAATGGTGTTTTGCTTCCTTGTTGAGGGTAACGATGGTGCGTAAAAACGTCGTTGCCTTTCTAGAGGCGTTGTTTTAGGAGAGCCTCTTCCACAGTTTAAGTATTGCTTTGATGGAGTTTGAGATTGAGGATCACTCGTGGTTGTGGTTTGGGTTTGCGGCGATTTGATATTTGTTGTCATGTTGTATTTTTTCTTTTGTCTTTTTAATCATCATTAGAGTTATTATATCATCTTGGTGTAATTTTCTAAAATCAATAAAGTTTCCTTTTATCTTACAATAAACTTCAGAATCTCCGGCCCAACAGGGTCTATGCTTATAACTCAGGGAGCCATCCAACTGACAGCACCACCTTTGATTTCCTTGCTAAGATAATCCAAAATTCCAAATAGTAATAGAATATAAATATACATACTCTCCAGGGTCTAAGTGCAATGTTCTCCATACTTACAACAGTGCAAGATTTTGAATCCCCTGAACGCGAGCGGCAACAACCAAAATTCAAGTGAATGGATCAACCCATGTATACATGGGTACCAGTGGTGTACCAGACTTAACCATGAAACCAATCAGATCAATCAGTGTAGCATAAAAAAAGAATGGCTTGGTCCATTGGTTAAACAGTGGCTCAGTTTTTCTGGTAAATTTTCCCATTTCTTTTGTCCGTAACAACAGATCATGTAATCTTTGCTGGAGTAAAAATCTAAAAAAAGAATGGCTACGGAAGCTGCATTGTTTTCTGTTGCTAAAGGGACTGACAACTGATAACTACAATGACAGACCAAAGTTTCGAATGATCTATCTTGAAGAGTATAGGCAAGATACCAAACCTCTTGTTCAAGAACTGCATTTGAACAGTAACGTTTTCATGACTAGAACAACTTCCTAGCTCTGCTGTCAGTTCTCCAGTCTGAATCTTGCATGGGGAGATGTTCATCAGGGTATGGTACACTGCCTTGCCTGCGAAGTTAGAACCTTTCGCATTATGTACTGATTCTTGCTCAGCATCAGGAACAAGATGTTGTCAAAACCAAGAGACACCAGACGACGATTTCGGGCTATACATGGGTGCACCAGAAAACGCAGGGTATGAAAAAGGGCCCCTACTTGGCTGGTAACAATTCCTTCTCGAGTAGGCCAAACATCTTCTTGAGGCGAGAAGATGCACTGGATAGTACCTCTTGAGCAATCTTCTTTCTGTTCTTGCAGCTCTTTAACCATGCGATCCCAATAGACACTTGGACATTGCATGCCTTGGGCTTGGATGAGATCTGCTCCAATTGGTATCGCATATGCAGCTGTAAAAAAGTTAAGAGGGAGTGCTGCTCAGTCATGTGAGAAGGAAAGTAACACTTTCAGTTGTAATAAGATGACCAAAAAGATGATTTTTCACTTGAAAGTAGAGACCAATTCAATAAATCTGAGACTGCCTTCTTTTCTAATTTCAGGTGAAATGCATATTTGTTTAATGAGATCTTCTGTATATGGTAATGTATTGGTTTTCCAGAATCTGGATGAACCTCTTTACCATAGTCACCATTAGTAATTGGACGTGTAAATAAAGGTGTTCTTTGATATTATGAAATGGCAATGAACAATTCTCCACAACCAGGATGACATTTATCAGTTACTGTAGTACTCCCTCCATTTCATATTATAAGACGTTTTGGGTGTAAGTCAAACTTCTTCAAGTTTGATCAACTTTATCGAAAAGGATAGCAATATATACAACACCAAATTAGTTTCATTAAGTCCACCCTTGAATATATTTTTAGAGTATATTTGTTTTGTGCTGGAATGCTGCTATATTTTTATGTAAGCTTGGTCAAACTTAAAAAAAAATGACATAGGAAAAAGTCAAAACGACTCATAACATGGAACGGAGAGAGTAGTTCAATTGAAGATACCACAGAAAACCAACAAGGAGCAAACGAATGGTCAATACTGCAGTAGTTATTGGCGTAGCGCTGGGTTTCAGCTGACAGTATAGCTTCTCAGATAGTCAGATGAACCAAAATAGGGGAAACTATGTACAGTTGTGGAAACCACACCTTAGGTGGAAACTTGGAAACTATCAGTATTATTTTATGTAAAATCTAAAAAAACAAAATATAGAGAAGATGGTATTAGACAGCCATATAAAATTTCAAGAGCAAACTCGACTTAGTTTGAGATAGGAAGTTAACAAATGGCGAAGAAGAAATGCTATTCCTGGTTGTCTTTTTCTTCACTACTCACAAACAAAGACGGATTTTTTCTTGAAATTTTGCATGGTTGTCTGAAATCATCTTAGCTATGTGATATATATTCTTTTTATTTTTTTAAATATTTTTTTTATCTGGTTTCCATGGTTACCACGTGGATAGTGGATTAGTGGTTTCCACTATATATTTACCCAACAAAAGAGGGAACTTGTCTTGTTCTGCTCACTAGTTTAATCAAAATTTGGTTTTAGTTACTGACACCCATATTGGAAGTTTATTTAGTACGGACTAAATCCTATTTTTATGTAACCTCGTTTTCATAATTCTGAGACCCAAACAGATCTCTAGGAGACACACAACTCTCTTGTTTACATGACTACAATACTAAATTAAGGGCATAGGATTGAAATGTACATAATAAAAGAAATAGTATAAGCCATGAAATTGTCACTTACGTTGAAGTATTCACCAACTGGAATACCTTCAAGCGTCATCACTTCTTCAACAAGCCATCCATTTTTATCAGGCAAAGGGGATTTCTGTTGGGTGCTCATTACTTCCCCTTCATGGCGTGCCAATCTCTTGTCGAACTTGTAATGAATTTGCCTCTGGTAAGCATCAGCTCTGACGGACTCCCATGGTGAAACTGAGTACTCCATACAGCCAATTTTCTCCATCACTTGATGCTCCAAAGGACCACCCTCAAATATGCTCATGAGTGTTGATACCTAATGAAACATACAAGTTGGCTACAATGTAAACTTATGTTTTTCTTTTTCATTCTTTTTGCAGCATAGAGATTGATTGCAGATAATTCTCAGGATGGAATAAGAATCTTACATCAAAAGGTTTTGTAGATGAAAATACTTCTGACATTTTTGCATCCTCTATTCCTAAGAAAGAATCACTTTCATTATTCTGGAGGTCTTTCATTTCTGATTCTTCTTCTACCAGCTGTACTTTTTGTTCAGGGGTCAAGGACCTTGCCTTCCAGAGCGCCATTATTGTTCTGTAAACCGTGCAAAGGGAAATTTGAAAAACAAGTTACCAAAAATAGTACTTAATAGGTGAGTAAATAGATAAAAAATCGGGCCTCATTGCAAGAAGTTTTTCATGTAATGAACAGACGTGCTTGACAAGACAAGTTCATGTTCGTCACCCAAGAAGCAGAACTTACTTATGTGCCACATTGAACGATACAAAAGACTGGAAATGAAACTTGAGTCGGCCTTCATTATCAAGTTGCTTTGCTCCATGCCTTGCATCCATTCCTCTGCCCTTGTGAAGAATAATAAGCAGAGATGGACTTCCCATTGAATATAGTGTTGCAGGCATCACTTGGATGTCCTCGATATCTTCCCAAAGAAAGAAGAATTTTGTTTTGTGGCCAAAAAGATTAGTGTAGAACCCAATAATTCTTGGAGATAAAAACAGGCGGCCCTGCAACAGACACAAGCGTCAGCTACCATGCAAGTTCACAGACAAAAAAAAAGATCTTAATGTCTAACTTGGTTGTGCAGTAATATGGCTATGTGACAAAATACACCAGTCTCGTAACAGAAAGGCTACTGTACACTTTGGTGACCTATCATCATTAGGCTGAAACAGTAATGGGAGATGGATTAAATTGAATATATTGTTTAAATAGGGGTACAAGTTGAATTATTTAAATTTAAAAGGGATGCAGAAGCTGAATTATTTTTAATGCATTCCTTTTTACAACTTAGTACCGAATAGTGGGTGAAAAGTGTGACTACCTTCTGTAGACTTTTATATTTATTATTGAAAAAGTACCAACAGCTGATTGTTTGGTTTTACGATACTCTCTCCGTCCCACAAAAAACCTATCTAGGTGGGGATGGGACACCACCTAGGACAAAATATTCATAGTCCTAGGTGATGTCCCATCCATACCTAGGTTGGTTTTTTGTGGGACGGAGGGAGTACTGACTTCACTTTTTCAGCTGTCAGCAAAGGACAGTGAAATTTTATGAAACAAATGAAGCCATCCCCACAATAAAGAAGAAAACTAAATAAGGATAAACCAATACAAGAGTGTTGGACACCTTTGTTAGCTCTCTGTGTCATAATTAAAAGACAGTTTACCTGTGTGAGCATTTTGCGCTTTAGATGACAGGTAAAATCATTGATTAGAAATTCTTCTGGTGGCAAAGAAAAGATCTTCTGGAATGCTGAGTTTGTGTGTGGAGACCTTACAGCAATCTGCATGGTAAATTTGCATAAGAAAAGAGGCAGGCCAAGATAGGATGACACTTCACCTCACTCAAAAATAGAGAAGATAAGTGCATTACCTTTTTGCCAACCTCTTTCTCCATTTTGTCTAGGTAGTCCTTCATGACTTCAGTACCCCTTGAATTATTCAAGATAATTCTCAAATGCAATTTTGACTGACATGCTTGAGCCAGCTTACCCTTGAGAGGAATCCAAATGTCGGAAAGCTCGGATAGATTAGATTTCAAGAAATTTACTTCAGCATGACCAAGAGACTCAACTTCATCAAATGGTCCATCAAAATCGTAGACATTTATTTTCATAACGGATGGAGGATCTTCCATGGCATCAAATTCAAAAATTTCTGCAAATTTTGAGAAGATATGTTGCAAAATTATGAATTGTAATTTTATATAGCAGCAATTATAACATAAGATAATAAGCCAAACTTTTACCATTCCACCGAGGTTCCAGAGTGTGAAATTTAATTGAACTAGTCTTCGTCTTTCCATTGCAGGTAAATACAACATATGGATCAGAGTAACCAGATGATTTGGTTGCTGCTAAATTGGTACCATCAATCAGAGCGACAGTCAGCAACCAACCATTCCCTTGTGCTTTGACTCCATGATCACTTCCTATATACTCCCAAATACCATGTAAGCAAAGTTTAGTTCATATGTGCATAAATCACGGGAGTATATATGTCCAGAACAAGAATAGAAGGTTTTTCTAAAGAAAACAGAAAGTAACAGTATGTCCAGACTCCACAATAATAATTAATAAGCGAAGATTTTGTTGAGGAAAACAAAAGGCAACAGTAACATTTTTCCATATCAGGGAAAGATTATACAAGCACCTGTATAGAACACTAAGTACATGTAACATGTGCCGTTGAGTGCCATGTACTGTAGGATTATCTACTGAACTTTCATTTTCAATTTCCACCAAGGAAAAATAACAGCAGCAGCAAAAGGAGAAATGGACACTACCTCTCTGCCTCTTAGCCTGGATGAATCGTGCAATCATATTTAGGACACGCTGTCCTTGCAGAACAAGAACTCCACAAACCACGACTTCACCAACAGAATCTGGTAGGTCCAGGCCAGGAAACTCAAGACCTTGAATTATACTGGGGCTTGCAAGGATGATGTGTGAAAAAACATAAATGAATGCAACCAGTGAGGATACAACAGTAAAATTTCCAAATATACGGAATGCTAGTTTCCAATCAGATTCTTGCTCTGGTTGTACTGAAGACAAAACTTTATCAGTAGCTGCTGCATCTTTTGAATCAACTGGCCTGATATTTCGAGCCAGGAGTTCAGAGAACTGAATGTAGTTATCCTTCAACCCTTGTTTAGCCCCATTTTCTATCATGCCCTTCATCATTGTACTCTGGATAAAATTCAAGCGCCAGGAGACTACAAGACGTGAGGATTTTTCATTATCAGGTAGTTCAGGCCCTGGCATTATGCATGTTAAAACCTCCACCCTAAAAGAATTCCCAAATGGAACATCTGGAGTACTAACATCAGCTAAAGTTGCATATATATCTCCATCTGCCTTCAGATATGACACATCCTCTGTTGCTTTCACAGCCTTGACTAGTGCAGTAGGAGCTTTTGTGTAGCTTACTACCCTCTTCAAGACCTCACCATCATTTTCAAGTCTCCATTGTTGGATTTCAAGACCAGTAGTTCCTTGCATCTCCGCTAGTGATTGCAAGAAATCTGAACTTGGTGAGAAAAGAAGTCCATTCAAGTCACTGGGTGCAACAGCATAAACTTGATCAATAAGAACTCCACCTGACAAGTTTTCAGGTATTTCATTCCCTTCATGGCAAGATCCAAAGGCTTTTAGTTGTTCATCAAAGGACATAGTTACACCAGTTTCATAATCCTGGTTATCAGGAAGTTCTGAACTAGTTGATGGTGTTTCTTCAAGAATATCTGAATTACCATCGCCCGTAGTGAGAGGTGGAGCTGAAGCTGAAGCTTCTGCATCTTTTGGTTTCGCTGAGAAAAATTGATACAGACGATTGACAAATGATGGGACACCATTTGATCTATCCTCCTTGATGATTTCTGTTTCATCACCCCCTGATACTGACGTGGGTATTTCTATAGGAATATTTGGCAAAGAAGATCCTTTCTGTAATTCAGTTGATTTGTCAGAATATGACGCGAGGTCATCTGAAACGCAATGTGCAAGTGTCGTTGTCTCTTCAGGGTAATTTAGAGAGAGAGATATTGTAAGACGAATTTCTCCTACAGAAGTTGTTGCCTGTTATCAGTATATAAATTACTTGCATGCATAAATAAAATTGGATATAGGCAAACAAAAGTGGGCTTTGTTATGGAAAGAGAAGGACTGGAGACTTGGATGAATAAAAACAAATAGAAAAGCTTGAACAGCAAACAATAGTGCTAGTATATCATCCAGGCGAAAACATATCCATACTAGTACATCACAACCATAACTCCAATAAAAACGGAATTGTGTAGATGGCTTAATTTCTTGTTTGTCAATAATGCTATTAATTATTTCAATGGTTTCCAATGCGTATAAAATTATTGGAAACATACCTACATGAAAGTGTTTTCGTACCAAATATACTAATGGCTTCTTTTTGAATACCAAATCTTAACATCTTTGCCTATATGAGTGGTTTAAGATTTCGATGTTTGATTGCACACATTAAACATCATCTATTTGAGAAGATGGAATAGTAAATAAAGACATGGTAGGAGACTATTGCCAAGAAAAAAGAACAATAAGGAAAAAGAAAGTGAGAAACTAGTACAGCTACTCATCCAACACTCTATAAGTACTCCCTCCGTTTTATATTACAAGTCGCTTCGACTTTATTTCATAGTCAAACATAGTAGTATTTTTCAACAAAAAAAAACAAACATATTATCAAATTATATTCAATGTTAGATTTAATGAAACTAATTTGGTATTTTAGATGTTGGCAAGTTTTTCTATAAACTTGATCGAAAATTCAAACTAAACAAAGTTTAACTATGAAAACAGTCAAAGCGAAACGGAGGGAGTAACAAAGCTCCACTTCAAAGGTAAAAGCAACACATTACCATCACGAGGCAAACCATCCAAAACAGCACAAGCTGGATGAATTTGCAAAACAGCAGCATAATACCTTTTCATATCTTGAAACAAGGGCAAATTCAAGAACTCAAGATAACATTAGGGGGGGGGGGGGGTGCCATGAATTTACCGTAATCCTTGATCTTGGACTTCTTGCTCTTGGGCAGCAGCTGGTACCACTGCGTCCCGAGCGAGCGGTTGTCGGCGTCGAGCACGGCGGAGAGGGGCACCCTGACCTGGCCGAGGAAGTCGTCGGAGAAGTACCTGTCCTCGTCGACGACCACCACCACGAGCTCGTCCTTGAGGTCCACCACCCGGAACGCGAACTCCTCGTCCCAGGTCGGGCTCAGCGTCCTCTTGGCCACCCTGGTCTTGCCACGCTGCCTCCCCAGCTGCAGCTTCGCGTACGGGTCGCTCAGCCCGCCGCCACCGTCGATCGCCGGCAGGTTGCGTGCCTCGCTCACCTGCACCAGCAGCCTCATTTCCCTCCTTCCCCTCTTCTTCCAAGAATCACGATTTGGGCGCGGTTCAAAAAAAAAAAAAATCAAGAAACCGGAGATTGCTCCTCCTATCCTATCTTTTTTAACTGCAGCTTGTGGTTCAGGTTGGAAACATGGAAGTGGTCGTTGAACTCGGAGAAATCAAGAACGAACTTTCCCGCTTGCTCTTGTCCAGGAAACAATCCACTCTTTCCCGCTCGCACCGCCTCCAATCAATCAATCAATCAATCAATCAGTCAATCCATCGAGATTAAAGGCGCCACGAACTCAGCGGGAAATGGCAAGAAACGAGGGCATAAACTAGAAACCAACCCCCAATCAATGAGAAAAAAGAAAATCAGGAGAAAAAAACAAACATCAGCAGCAGGCAGGGCGGGCGTTTGCGGAGGCCAATCAGAATCAGAGAGCGATTGGAGGGGGGGAGCCTGGGTGAGGTTTTGTGTGGAAGCAACGGATGGGCGGTGGTCGGCTTCGGGCACGGAAGACTTTGATTTGAGCCGCCGGCGAAGAGGAAGAGGAGAGGAGGTGAAGAACTGAAAAATGAAAATGAAAAAATGAGAATGAAAATGTTTTGAGGACTCAACACAACAGTCAACACAACGCGAGGCGTACGGTGTGTGTGTGTGGGTCTTCTCTCCTCTGCTGACTTTCAAAACCGCTCCGCTGCCCGTTAGCGTTTGCTTTTAGCACTGGTACAGTTTTACTATTTCGACTTTTTTTTAAAAAAAAATTACACTTTTGTTCCTCTATGACTACAACCTCTCCACTACCACCGAGAAAAAAAAAAACTCTACCTCACTTTACCTGGCAAGCACGAATGGCTGGTTCAGTTTGTTATCATTTCTAACCTTTTCAAATTTCAATATTTTAAGGGTAACAAACTAAACACGGTTCAATTTTATTGAGTTTTGACATTTTCCGAAACTTTCTACTCTCAAATCATTACCGAAATAGAGTCTAACATCACAATTCTCACCTTATCTTATATGAGATACACTTGATAGTACATAGTACATTAATAAAGGTGTGTAGTTTTAACTATGAGTTCCTGTATTCAATCCCGTACACGGACATCTCTACCCCTCTAAGCCTCTCTTTTTTTTCACCTTACATACTGTACTAGGTAATACCTCATTTTCTGTGCTTTATATGAAAATTTGTCCGAGTTAGCTTAACAACTCTATCATTTCACTTATGCTTGAATTTATAATTTAATATTTAATATTTAATTTTGTGGTTTTTTTACTGTGGCTTATCTTATAGCATTTTCTTTTGAATAGTTAACGACATGTCTATAATATTTTTACTTATAAATTATTTTTTATTGCTAATAAGCGAAACGATGGACACGTAAGGCTGATAAGACGTGGAGAAATGAACTAAAAAATAATAGTTTAGACACCTTTTTATACACATATTCTTAGCTATCTAAAAGTCATCGTTGAAAATTTAACTACGATGAAAAAAAATCTTAAATTAAATATACAATTATGTTTTAAAATTTAAATTTCGGCTGTGGCTAGCAAGACAACAAGCAGCAGACAATGAAAAGCGCCGGCCAAAGGGAGGAAGAGTGCAAGACATGAAAAAAATACTATTGGGTTTTTTTATGAATCATTTAGATTTTATTAGATATTCATAAGAATCTTTCAAAATTTTATAGAAATTTGTGAAAAATATTATGTGTTTCAAAAGAGATTTGTGTTTAGATGAGTATGCTGGGATCTGTTTATCCCTGCACGCGAAATGAAATGACCCATTAGCGTATGATTAATTAAGTATTACCTATAGAAAAGAAAACTTGAAAAAAATAAAGAATTCCCTATAGATTTTTTTAAAAACAACTTTCCTATAGTTTTTTTTAAAAAAATACATCGTTTAGCAGTTTGAGAAGCGTGCACAAGAAAAATGAGAGAATAAAAGTTGAGAAAATGTAGTATCGAACAAAGCCTTACTAGTCGAATAAGGTCCTATTCAAAGGCAGGAAAAAAAATTCGGGACTTCATTTGAACACAGGAATTCCACGTGTATCAATTCTACCGGATCTAAAAAAACACGTGGCACTCAAATGAGGGTGTTATATGGGAATTGAAGTGTTTCAAGTGAAGTTATTGGGTTTCAATCAGGCCAAATTACGAGTTGTCAAAAGATTTTCTTTTTAGGACAAAAGAAATTGTGCACTTGTTAATCCCTGTCTAGAACGCAGGAAAAATCCCTCTTTCCTGTGGAAAACATAATTATTTTATATGAAATCAATGTGTTCTAGACAATGACCAGTTCTTGAGCATGCTTCAATTATCAGGAGCAGTAGCCAGTAGGATTGGAGTGCCATGTTGACTTTTTTTTTAAAAAAATGGGATTACTGTTTTTTGTCCTTTTTTTTAACAGGGATAAGATCACTTTGACTAATTATGCCCATCTTCAGATATGTTGACTAATAAGTTGGGTCCATATTAAGGTACAGCACTGACAGCAGCTCTTCCTTCTTGAATGCCTTCATGTCACTGTGGGTTCTTCTGGGACTAATCATTATATTCTTCTCTATAAAGTTCATGTGAAATCAAGCTTTTAAAAAATAATTAATAATCCTATTAGATTAAACAGGTAATCAAGTGCCAAATGCACCCAACAGTATGCAGCACGAGAAAGCTGGAAGCTGTCATAAAAAAGCGTGACACATCGACACGATGATTATCCAAGCTAGAGGCAAGCTATAATCATAATTCCACAGGACAAAACTAAATTCCAAATTAGCAGAATGAGTAGTGTCTTTTTTAAATAAAAAAAAATCTCCCAAGAAGTACTTTGTCGGTTGCAGCTGTGTGGTCATGACTGGACTGGGTAAAGAAGAGGCAGCTTGACAGCAAATAATTTTCAGCTAAGAAAGTTTGACAGGGAGCATTTGTGTCAACGTCAATGGACACAGCACACGGACAGTTCGAAGAATATGACAATAATTAATAGCTTCTCTCTAGATGAACTGTGCTAAAAGATGGAGTATTCCTTGGAACAACCAATATGACCTCTAGAAGAAGTACAGGTTTTACAGGTGTGCTAGCCACAAGGGCTGTTAAACAATCAACTCTCCAGATGCAGATAAGGTTTAGCAACTTGATAGATATACACATAAGATTATGACGTGATTTTTCCCCGTAAAGGAAGTGTTGGAAAAAATTTCAAAACTAAGGAGTGTACTGGTTCCAGTTTCAATTTTTCCTGGAAGTTGCAGAAATTCTTGCAAAAACCGAAAAGGAGGTTAGGTTACTCCATATCAACTGAAGCCATGTTTAGATCAAAAGTAAAGCTGCAAAGCTTTTTTGAGCGCAAGCTAACACGGCAGATGACATATTACTCCAGTATTTGCCCCAAGGAACAATTCAGGGTAATCGTTCACCCGCAAACTCAAGTGTCACATTAAGAAGCGAAGTAAAAAAAAAAAGCACAAACCTAGAGTAGGAGCAGAAACAGAGGTGATTAGCTATCTGAAGTCTGGACAGTTACCTTTTGCAGCACAAGTGCAAGGAACAGGAGTCTTTTGTGAAGATGTCCAGGTTTGACTCTATGAATTCTTCCAGACTGCTTGATATTGCCATATTGGAACCTTTCAGCAAGCACAGCGCGAATCGAAAACAACAGTGAAAGAAAAGAGAGTGATTCCTCAAGACTAATTTCATTATTTGTACTAAAAATTACAGAAGTTGGATGCAGGTAATAAGGCGCATCAGAACTAGATAACATAACAACATCAACATATCAACAATGCTAATATGCAGTTTATTCATTTCATTGACCATAGCACCAATCTTACTAATACTGTACATTTTGGTTCCAATCAACTAGAGGGGATTTTCCACAGATAACAAAACCAAAACTATGGAAAGATCAAATGCAGATTAAGTAGCATTGTAGCACTACAGAGAGGGAAAATTACAACCAGGATAAGTATCACAACTGGTGCAATGCAAACTCAACTATGGTACAAGGGCAAAGCCATCATGGAAACAGAGTAAAAATCCTACATGTATTCCCTCAGGACAAGTTGTTTTCCATCTCATGCTAGCTGCTGGTCTCCTCTGAATCAGCAAGCACAAACTCTGTGTACAGGTTCTTCAATGCCATCACCACTGTCATTATAAGGGGACCTAATATTGCACCCTGCAGAGTTACATCAGATGGTCAGCCCAATGTGAGTAAAGAAAATATCAATTCTCAGATGCTCGGTGGAATGGCACTCTAGTACATTGGTGTGCTCCATGTTCCAAGGACTAGAATGATTCCATAAGAATTTTCTGGACAGTAAACAAACAGATGTTGTACAGAGTACAAGTGTACAACACACACAGACTATACAGAAAATCATTCAACATAATACATTAGTGTCCATTTTTTGTAGCCTAGAAGAAACGCAATCTTTTCAGATTTTAGCTACTAGATTATTTAAAAGACTTCCGATATAGAAGTTACTTTTAAAAAATCAAACAAATCCATATTTCAAGCTTGTAATAGTTATTACTTAATTAATCGTGCGTTAATTACAGAACTTCACTGATAAGATACGTGGCTGATCAGCCAAAACCCTCCTCAACAGGGCCTTAAAATGTATAACATCATAGGCATGAAGGCCAGATAGAGTATAACTTTTTTTTTTGGAGTACAAAAATGATTGGAGTTACACCCATAAATAGGGTTGAAAAGGTATAGATTTTTGGAGCAAGAAAAAAGCAGCATGTATGAATAGGGGATATAGGTAAAATAGATATGCTTTTGGTGCCCACAGTAGGAGATTCTTTAGTATCAAATGCAAAACGTAAAGCATTTATTCTAGATTATGTCTTCTGATTATCCACACCATATGTAAAATCATACAATTGAACTAACAAAAGTTCATCTTCAAAGCACCTAAATGTTGTCTGAACGAAAATGGTGAAAAACATTTAACACAACAAAAGTGAATAGATTTGGTATAAAAAGTCAGTACCTCCAGAGCATTGGGGAACAATGCCATGCCACCAATTATGCTAAGGCCAGTGAGATATCCATTGTACCCGGGTATATCCTCCTGAATGACTGTAGTTCCATAATCCATGATTATGAGATGAACCACTGTCACCACAATAGCGAGCACATATCTCCCTTCCATGAGCAGCTGTCCTGCGGCAAATATCGAGGACAACCATGGTGGGAGTATTGGCAGAAGTGCACTGATGATTGCAAACACAGTTGATGTGTACACAAAATGCACCTTGAAGAGCTTGAACAACAGCCATGTCAGGCATCCCTGGAAAATGGCAATCTTGGCAGTGGCTAACAAGACACTACTAATGGCATGGTCGATGACCTCGACGCATCGATCCTTTACTTGTTTTGACAATGGCAAAAGATCAATGACCTGCTCTGTAGCCCCACCTCCCTCTACAGTGATGAGGTAGTACAGCACCCACAAGAAAACCATCAACTGTGACACAAAATTGAGCACCTCAGCTGCACCAGAGACAATGTGGAGAGTAATGGATAACATCAGATTGGCACTACCACCGAGCACCGATGTGCTGCTAGACAGCAGACTTTTTGCGATCTCAGCCCCCTGCAATGCCAATCCCTTGGCCTTCACCACCAAATCCTCC